TATACTTCTACTACCGCTTTTTATTATTCGATATTAAGAGAGGCAATGTAACTAAACAAGAGAAATGATATAAAAACAGATGAAATCATAGTTTAAGCGGAATTCTTGGTGCCATAATGTTATGATGATGGTCATCATGATCATCATGATCATCATGATCATCATCATCAAACTCAACATCATAATTATTCAAGAAGAATTCTAAGGATATATTCCTCACCCGAGCTCCGATGTTTGCATCCTTGATGATATCTGGACTGAAGATAGGGGTGTTGTCTTTCTTCAGCAAAGATTCGAATAAACGACGATTCGGTGATATATCAGACATTCTGTAACAAAAGAATAATATTTTGATGGCCTAACCGTATCGAATATACATCTAATGTCAATTTCAGTGGATGAGTACATGAACAAGCAAAGGTACGTGAGATGACTTCAATACTTTCAGACATTTGTGCTTTTGATTGTATTAGTAATTTCATCTGTTTTGAGTTTTGATTAAACATCATAGTGATCTAGCATTCAAACACTCAAAGTATGTTGATGTTTTAAATCGAGATTGTGACCAAAAAAATGTTCTTACCTGAATTTGATCATCAAAAAAGATATTGATAAACACGATATATTATGCGGCTGTAAAGCTTGAACACAATAACAATGTGAAGAATAACAAACAGTGTGTTACTGGGGAAAGTCCTCTCTCCCAGAAGATGAGGGCGTACAGAGTTACGTCATAATGGTCACAATACGTTCGTGCGCACGGACCCTTGTGTTTACAAACTTTTGACCAATCAGGCTAAAGAATTTGTGGTTTAATTCATATCTAAGTTTGTTCACCCTACGCCTAATGCGCTTTGGGCATGTACAAAGCATGACGCGTTATGCGCATGTGTCCCCCTAAATCATGAATATGCAACAGGCAAGCTTTGCGAGGAGCTGGGAGAAAGGGAAAGAGGCAGGAAGGAGACGGATTTGAATTTCAAAACTGAAACCAGCACGACAGCGGCCATACATGAAGTTAGCCGAATGTTAAAATTATGGAAAATATACTTTTTAACATGAAATACGAAGTGAAGGCAAAAAGGTATATTTCCAGCAACCTGCCCTGTGTCAGGCCCGAACTAACGACCTTCAGATTTACAGATTATGAGACTTACTCGCTGCCGACTATGCCAACAAGACTGATGTGAGTGAAGAGATACACGGACACCAGTTTTCTTATTCATACTTCTCATTAATCTTATTCGCTGTTCCTTTTCATTTCTCGCTATATACATATATCCATATAGACCTACACACAATTCTACAGACTTTCAAGAAATCATCCTTAAGCAGTTGTCACCATTCGGGATTTGCGAACATGATGGATTAATTAGTGATAACTATATTCATGTATGTGCAGTTTAGCACAACATGTCAACGTTCAACGGTTTTAGACACAACTTTCTCTCTTCTACTCTTCCCATCTCCAGTTCTCTATCTCTCTTCCGCTCTAGTTGTCTCACTCTTTCCCTCTCCATCTCTTGTTCTCTCTCTCTCCGACTCGCTTAGTTCCCTTACTCTTTTCATCTTCCTTATCTCTTTCTCCCTACTTGTCCTCCCTCTCCCATGCTCGGTAATTTCCTCTTTTTCCTCTTTCCATTAATTTCTTGATTCTCCTCATTATTATATATTAAGTTCAACCCCCTCTCTCTGTCTCTGTATCTCTTTTCTCTCCATGCCTTTTCCTCCAAAATAATTCTAAAACCTATCACACACATGTATATATCCAATAAACAGCCATTAAAATAATAACACCACATTACAAAAGTATTCTTTTAATTATTTATTACACGAAAAGTAAAGTAAAAGTTGACGTTTGTCATATTTAATAGACGGGGAAGGGGGGGGGGGATGTCACTGATCATAAATGTTCATTATTCAGCATAGATTTCTAAAAAATTTTGCCAGACAAGCAGAATCATATTTAAAGATAAACTTTAGTACTGGTAATGCGATTGCATTGTGAAAGAAAAGGTGTGGAAAGGATCAGAAACAGTTGATCATGTAGCATATAAGTAGTGGTGTGCACTGCAAAGTTCTGGAGTCATCAAAATCATAATAAATTGGACCGAGTCTTGGTAAAGTAACAAGCACTGTACACAGAAAGCTATATATGGGACAACACACATGGTGTCGGGGCTAGTACTACCTTGATTTCCTTGTCTTTCTATGCTCATTACTCAGCCAGTATACATTCTCTTCCAAAATTGTTTGGCACATGTCATTTATTTGTAATATTGAACATTCAGTGTAAGTTTCATTTGATTCTGTGAGAATTAATTTTCTTTTTTTTACCAGAACTCAAGTTTATCTTTAAGGTATCCAATTCTACACATACATAGGGAGGAATGGGTAATAAATTATAAAGGCACTGTGCTTCACTATCAAAATAATTTAAAGTCTTTTTTGGGGGAATGTCAGGTAATGTTAACATCCATGTATGTTCAGAGATAAGGCACTATAACAAAGATTTTGACTGCTTTCAAATGAATGACGGATTATGGTCAGTTGAGAATTACAAGTGACTAATTTGAGGTACCGGTAGCCATTTTATGTAACCTTCTATCAAATGTTACATAAAAATGAATATGCAGGATAATCCAATATTCTTAATAATTGATGGTGCCTGAAGCTCTCATTCTAACTGAATTCTAAGGATGTTAAACAGCCAATATATATTTCACTAATTAAGAATTACTCCTTTACTATATTTTCGTTATTTTGAGTTAAGCTACATGCATACACAAGAGACCAATACACCTCAATAGTTTAAACCCTATCTACCCCTGGCGGGGGGGGGGGGGGGGGGGGGGGGGGGGGCTTTAGAAGTCCCCCCTCTACATTTTTCGTGATAATTGTTTAACCCTTACTGTACTGGGCTATTTCGAGCACTCTCTGACTGGGGGGGGGGGGGGGCCTGGGAGGCCCCCCCCCCCATGATCTTGGCCGTCGAATGTCCGATGAACGCGAAAATTTGCATGTTTGTAGATATTTACGTAAGGAACAAGATGGTATAATTAGTTTTTTCCTAATATGCAAATTTTTGTCATAATAGCCTAATTAATTATGCAAAATGCAAATTTTATGCATATTACAGAAAACTCTACATATTTGTCCGTAGACTTGTAAAGAATCTTGAAAATGTATTGAATAAATGTTTCCTTCACCTCAAATTCATGAGGTTTCATTATTTTTATGATTTTTGAAAATGCATAGGTTAATTTGCATAAATTATGAATACGCATTCATGAATATCAAATCTGGAAATATATATAGGGAACTAGAATCATTACAAAAATTGTCAGACTCCACTTTTTTAATGTTAATTGAAACCCATTATTCATATGAAACTTCTTTTCTAACACAAAATAGTTATTTGATGTAATTAATAATGATAATTTATGCAAATTTGATGCGATTTTCAACTATTTATTTTCTTATGTATTTTATTGTTTTTTATTTCTTATTATATCTATTGTTTTATTTCTGATGTATTCTTTTGTTCTGAAATACATAAAGTTACTTTAAGAAACATATAAAAGCAATTTGATATCAATTCATATCTTCACATTTCTGCTTGTACATGAATATATGCAATTATAGCACTTTTTTGATGACATGCGCATACTAATTGTCATGTAACACCTTACAGGTACATCTGATTTTGACGAAAATGGTATCAAAATGTGCGTAAGACTTGAGGGGAAAAATTCATGAAATGACAATTCAAAATTCCGAGCGGTTGCGGCGCGATCTCCGAAAATGTCGAGGGGGGGGGCCTCCCAGGCCCCCCCCCCAGTACAGTAAGGGTTAACGCCAAAGAATCTTGCACTGAAATTTTATGAATTTTTTCTTTCGAGTCTTGCGCATCTTTAGAAATAAATATTTTGAAAATCGGACCTACCGTTACAGAGTCACATGACCCTTTTGTCTTTGCATGTCAGCGCAAAAATCGCTCATTTTCATGATTTGTGTACAAAACATGGAAATCTCATTTTTCCAAAAAAGAGATAAAACATTGGTTATTTGGTCTTGTTTATAGTTTAGGTGTTTATTTATGGGTTCAAAATAGTTGAATTATAGTTGGAATTAAAATAAAACAACATAAATAAAAAAAAACAAAGAAATACATAAGAAATTATCAAATCAATAGATAACATAAGGAATAACCTGGCTCTTCCGGTTTTTTGTTGTTGCATTATTATCCCAAATGTTCTAAAGATTATGTAGTGAAAACTAATGTTTAAATTTGAAGAATATATGATTTATGGGTAAAAATGTGAATTTTATTACCTTATTTGCATAAATTTTTGCAGCAATGGGCCGTTATACAGCCAAGATCAAGGGGGGGGGGGGGCCTTTGAACAATAACGATACTATTTTTTTGGTCAAAGAATACATTATTGAGTAGTTTAGACACATTTTAATTGAAATACATCTATTTCAGTACCTTGGCTGATTTGCCTCATTGAACTACATGTATTTGTTTTTTATTCCTCAATGTCACTTTCAGCATGTGTTCTGCATAATACAGAGCTGTTCATATATGGTTCATAAATGATTTGATCTTCTTGGTTAATTCCTTCTCCTTATCAATAAGATTCCTTGCAGGTTTACAACCTCACAATATGCTCAATCCACTCCCTCCTATCAAGTAGCACATCAGCATTTTCTTAGACACCACAACTGATCTAGAAGAGAGTTCTCACATCGGTGGTAAAGCCGATTATTAATCCATAGGCAATGCCAATTTGCTGATGTTCATTGACACGGCTGGCCAGTTCCAATCTAGCAATGTGCACATAGATGGTAGTGAGGTGAGCACCGATGAGTTGGCATTGCCAATTTGATTGTGCTAATGTTCATCGCCAGAGCAGGCTGCTTCTACATACCCTAGAAGCTAGTGGACTGACAGAGATGAGCTCTTCTTTTTTGTTGGCATTGCCAATTTGAATGTACTAATATTCATTCCCGGAGCTGGCCGACTCTGTCCGGTCTAGAAGGGAGTTTGCACATAAATGATAAAGCTGGGCGTTGACCCGTCGTAACCTTGTGACTTCGTCCTCATCTGATCTCGGCTGCTTCTGGAATTGAAATATCTAGGAGGGGTAAATAAAAAGAAGGCGGTAAGAAGATGCAAAAGACATACTGTAATATTTTCAATAGAATACTTTATCATCCAATCTCTCAATCAACATATTGAAACATCTCCAAACAAGTTGCAGTAAAATTCTTCTTCACAATACACATCCTCCCTTTATAAAGAGAACGTTGAGTTCTGGGGAGATTTTAAAATCTTTGTAGAGACTCCAAAACCTTGCAGTACACACCAATACTTATATGCTACGTGATCAACTTTTCTGATCGATTCCACAGTTTCTATCACAATGCAATTGCTTGACCAGAACTCAAATTTATCTATAAACTAGATGGAATTTTGACTGCGCGCAGTCAAAAATGATGCCTCCGCCATAGAGCAATTTAAACAAGTTTGGAGTTTAAATCTCCAGTGGTTCTTGAGATATCATGATAACAATCTCAATGTATGGAATTTCATTAGTTGACCTCTGTGACCCTTGACCTTTGACCTACGTGCTCCAAAATCTAATCAGATTGTCTTCCTATGGTGATACACACTATCATTAAGTTTGAAGTTTAAATCTCCAGTGGTTCTTGAGATATTATGATATGGTGATCCAAACTATCATTAAGTTTGAAGTGAAAATTCTCCAGGGGTTCTTGAGATATCGCGATAACGATCTCAATGTATGGAATTTCATAAGTTGACCTCTGTGACCCTTGACCTTTGACCTACGTGCTCCAAAATCTGATCAGATTGTCTTCCTATAGTGATACACACTATCATTAAGTTTGAAGTTTAAATCTCCAGTGGTTCTTGAGATATTATGATATGGTGATACATACTATCATTAAGTTTGAAGTGAAAATTCTCCAGTGGTTCTTGAGATATCGCGATAACGATCTCAATGTATGGAATTTCATAAGTTGACCTCTGTGACCCTTGACCTTTGACCTACGTGCTCCAAAATCTGATCAGATTGTCTTCCTATGGTGATACACACTATCATTAAGTTTGAAGTTTAAATCTCCAGTGGTTCTTGAGATATTATGATAACAATCTCAATGTATGGAATTTCATGAGTTGACCTCTGTGACCCTTGACCTTTGACCTACGTGCTCCAAAATCTAATCAGATCGTCTTCCTATGGTTATACATACTATCCTTAAGTTTGAAGTTTTTACATCTCCAGTGGTTCTTGAGATATCATGATAACAATCTCAATGTATGGAATTTCATGAGTTGACCTCTATGACCCTTGACCTTTGACCTACGTGCTCCAAAATCTAATCAGATCGTCTTCCTATGGTGATACATACTATCATTAAGTTTGAAGTGAAAATTCTCCAGTGGTTCTTGAGATATCGCGATAACGATCTCAATGTATGGAATTTCATAAGTTGACCTCTGTGACCCTTGACCTTTGACCTACGTGCTCCAAAATCTATTCAGATTGTCTTACTATGGTGATACACACTATCATTAAGTTTGAAGTTTAAATCTCCAGTGGTTCTTGAGATATTATGATAACAATCTCAATGTATGGAATTTCATAAGTTGACCTCTGTGACCCTTGACCTTTGACCTACGTGCTCCAAAATCTAATCAGATCGTCTTCCTATGGTGATACATACTATCCTTAAGTTTGAAGTTTTTACATCTCCAGTGGTTCTTGAGATATCATGATAACAATCTCAATGTATGGAATTTCATAAGTTGACCTCTATGACCCTTGACCTTTGACCTACGTGCTCCAAAATCTAATCAGATCGTCTTCCTATGGTGATACATACTATCCTTAAGTTTGAAGTTTAAATCTCAAATGGTTCTTGAGATATCGCGCTAACAAACTCAATACAAGGAATTTCATAAGTTGACCTCTGTGACCTGTGACCTTTGACCTACGTACTCCAAAATCTAATCAGATCGTCTTCCTATGGTGATGAATACTATTCCCGAGTCTTAAGTTTAAATCTTAAATGGTTCTTGAGATTTTGTGAGAACGGTCAAACGGGACGGACGTACGGACGGACAACCCGAAAACATGATGCCTCCGGCACCACCTTCGGTGGCGGAGGCATAAAAATATATTTTCCTCCAAAATCCTGAACCACCCCAGCCCTTACCATTTCGGCCTGAAATTGGTGTTTATTCAAATTATCACAATATTTGCCCCTACGCCCCTATCAAAGGGATATGGGGGTCAAGAACCATCTAATGGCATGTATGTACATTCATTGTGGGGAAACTAGCCTATTAAAAAAATATAATATTTTCCTCCAAAATCCTGAACCACCCCGGCCCTTACCATTTCGGCACGAAAGTTGTGATAATTCAAATTTTTACAATATTTGCCCCTTCGCCCCTTTCAAAGGGATATGGGGGTCAGGATCCATCTAATGGCATGTATGTACATTCATTGTGGGGAAACTAGCCTATTAAAAAAAAATAATATTTTCCTCCAAAATGCTGAACCACCCCGGCCCTTACAATTTCGGCCTGAAATTGGTGTTTATTCAAATTTTTACAATATTTGCCCCTTCGCCCCTTTCAAAGGGATATGGGGGTCAGGATCCATCTAATGGCATGTATGTACATTCATTGTGGGGAAACTAGCCTATTAAAAAAAATATATATTTTCCTCCAAAATGCTGAACCACCCCGGACCTTCTAATTTCGGCCCGAAAGTTGTGATAATTCAAATTTTTACAATATTTGCCCCTACGCCCCTTTCAAAGGGATATGGGGGTCAGGATCCATCTAATGGCATGTATGTACATTCATTGTGGGGAAACTAGCCTATTAAAAAAAAAATAATATTTTCCTCCAAAATGCTGAACCACCCGGCCCTTACAATTTCGGCCTGAAATTGGTGTTTATTCAAATTTTTACAATATTTGCCCCTTCGCCCCTTTCAAAGGGATATGGGGGTCAGGATCCATCTAATGGCATGTATGTACATTCATTGTGGGGAAACTAGCCTATTAAAAAAAATATATATTTTCCTCCAAAATGCTGAACCACCCCGGACCTTCTAATTTCGGCCCGAAAGTTGTGATAATTCAAATTTTTACAATATTTGCCCCTACGCCCCTTTCAAAGGGATATGGGGGTCAGGATCCATCTAATGGCATGTATGTACATTCATTGTGGGGAAACTAGCCTATTAAAAAAAAAAAATATTTTCCTCCAAAATGCTGAACCACCCCGGCCCTTACAATTTCGGCCTGAAATTGGTGTTTATTCAAATTATCACAATATTTGCCCCTACGCCCCTTTCAAAGGGATATGGGGGTCAGGATTCATCTAATGGCATGTATGTACATTCATTGTGGGGTAACTAGCCTAATCAAAAAATATAATTTTTTCCTTCCAAATGCTGAACCACCCCGGCCCTTACAATTTCGGCCTGAAATTGGTGTTTATTCAAATTATCACAATATTTGCCCCTACGCCCCTTTCAAAGGGATATGGGGGTCAGGGTTCATCTAATGGCATGTATGTACATTCATTGTGGGGTAACTAGCCTAATCAAAAAATATAATTTTTTCCTTCAAAATGCTGAACCACCCCGGCCCTAACAATTTCGGCCCGAAAGTTGTGATAATTCAAATTTTTACAATATTTGCCACTACGCCCCTTTCAAAGGGATATGGGGGTCAGAATCGATTTAATTGCATGTAGGTACAATCATTGTGGGGAAACTAGCGTATTAAAAAATATATATATTTCCTCCAAAATGCTGAACCACCCCGGCCCTTACCATTTCGGCCTTAAATTGGTGTTTATTCAAATTATCACAATATTTGCCCCTACGCCCCTTTCAAAGGGATATGGGGGTCAGGATTTATCTAATGGCATGTATGTACATTCATTGTGGGGTAACTAGCCTAATCAAAAAATATAATTTTTTCCTTCAAAATGCTGAACCACCCTGGCCCTTACAATTTGGCCTGAAATTGGTGTTTATTCAAATTATCACAATATTTGCCCGTACGCCCCTTTCAAAGGGATATGGGGGTCAAGATCCATCTAATGGCATGTAGGTACATTCATTGTGGAGAAACTAGCCTATTAAAAAAAAAAAAAAATTTCCTCCAAAATGCTGAACCACCCCGGCCCTTACAATTTCGGCCTGAAATTGGTGTTTATTCAAATTATCACAATATTTGCCCCTACGCCCCTTTCAAAGGGATATGGGGGTCAAGATCCATTTAACTCTTATCGTGCCAAGAACACTGTTCTGTGCATGCGCTGGCGTGCCACGCACACATAACCGGGTTTCTGTTGACATGCCATGCACACATAAACTCTCATCCGCTCGCGTGCCACGGACACATTTTCGTGCATAAGTACACAAGCTAATTGTTTATGCCTATTGTGCGATGCGCATTGCGTGCACGCATGAATGCCTACTGCATTTGTGGAGGGGGTTTATTGTTGTTTTGATTTTGTGTGCTTCACATATACCGTTACATTGGATTTTCCTGAGAAAATTGCGATATTTTATCATCAAATTTGTCAGTTTTGATCATGGCCCCTCAGATTGTGTGCGGGAGATGAGACAACGGATTGGTTTGACAACTCACTGATAGTGCTTATTTACTTTTAAAATTACAGATTCATGAAATGATATTGGTATCAACAGAAAGAGGGTTAAATTTCCTACAACTTTAACGTACAATTCTTTTTTTATACAATATACAGATGAGATGTTATAGTGGATCAAACATAGTAACAATTTAAACTACACGCACTTGAACCAACCCTAAATTAACTTGGCACACAGGAGATTAGTAGCGGGCACAATAGGGATTAGCACTGTGGCACTGGGTGCATTGTATGGGTGGCAGCCTAAAAGTTAATGGCATGTATGGACATTCATTGTGGGGAAACTAACCTATTAAAAAAAAAAAATATTTTCCTCCAAAATGCTGAACCACCCCGGACCTTCTAATTTCGGCCCGAAAGTTGTGATAATTCAAATTTTTACAATATTTGCCCCTACGCCCCTTTCAA